AACAAAAGTGCGAATGTTTGTGGCCCAAAAAAAAAAAAAAAAAATTGGGTGCCACCACTCCTCCGACAAATACTCCCGGGCATATTTCCTTCACCCTCTGCAAAAAGAACTGACGAAGACACATGAGTGAGTCACTTGCACGAGTTGAGTAAAGGTCTGCTTCGAATCTGCAGACCTCAATCAGGATTCCTTGAGGGTGGTTCGCTTCAAGTCACTTTCAAGTAGACCACCCGACCGTTGCAAACGACAGGATGCCCTCAAAGCACCAAACCAAATCCAACCATAAAAAACGAAAGAGGCTTAGTTCCCACTATTGCCGTTATATATTGCATCAGCTACATACATTTTGTGTGTGTGTGTGTGTGTGTGTGTGTGTGTGTGTGTGTGTGTGTGTGTGTGTGTGTGTGTGTGTGTGTGTGTGGCGTCGGGGGTGTTCTCCGCACCCGCAGGGTCCTGGGTGGGGGTGGGCTTCTGGAAAACGTGCAAAACGTCCCAGGCAGCAGGAAGCAGGCGGTGGCGGAAGATCTGGGACGCCAGGAAGGAGAAGAACAAGATGGAAGCCAGGGAGCAGAGCATGGCGAAGGTTTTGACGGGGAAGTACTGCACATAGATGCCAGCATGGTGGTCCCAGATGCCACCCGGGAAGCGCAGCACAGGCGGAAGGGCCAGCACGGGCTCACCGCTCAACAGGCGCACGGCGAAGCCCGTCACGCCGCCCAGGATGGCGCCGTACGTGTTGGTGCCGGGAAAGAAGACGGCACAGATCAGCTGCGGAAAAATCACGTTGTAGGAAATCTCGGCCCCCACGATCCAGAAGAGGATCACGCTGGTCTTCAGGCGGGTCAGCGCCGTCCCGACCACGCCCACCACCACCACCGTCGCCCGGATGGCCAACTGCAGCTCGCGCTCCGACGCCTGCCAGACCACAAATTCACCGTTTCCACTTCAGTATGGTGTACCCCTTTCCCACACACGTTATCACCATTCGTTCCGACACAAAGCCCTTTCACACTGACTTTTGCGGCTTTCGCACCTGCGGCCTGAGGATGTTGTTGTAGAGATTGGCGGGGGAGATGGAGGGGGGAGACACAA